GATAATAAAAAAGTGTTTATTTATCGCCTGTCTCTAGAGACGCGTAAATATATTATCGGTTATTTCGACGGCCAATTTTTCGGTTGTTCCGCAGAAAAAAAAGAAAAAAAAAGAAAAAAAAAGAGCGTATTGATCAACATTCAAATGTCACGTACATGACAAGCGCAGCGTCGATACAGCGACGCGAGAATAATGACGATTGGGCGCGATCTCTGATTTCGTCCCGATAATATACATCGTCGGTCCAAGAAGCGTTTAATTGAATAGCCGCTGCGTTCGACGCGAATTATAAACATGATTATTGCGGTGGGGCTCGCGCGGCCGTTTTCATACAGTTTCGCGGCCGCGGACATGGAAATGGTCGGGCTAGATTAGCGCGCAAGGGACGAAGGATGCACTTATGCTGATTAAAAAAAGAAAAAAGCGAAAATACTTGTCGCCGGAATGCTTTTAACGAATTAATGCCCCCGTTCCACTAGCACTTTTGCGATACAATATTTACTTTTGCTCGGTAAGTCGTGTTTGCTCGCGCCGCGCGTGTGTGCGGCCGGTCCTACGCTGCTTAAATCATTTGTCGCAATTTGATAAAATGAAAAATAAATATAAGCAACGCGAGCTTTAATTGCGGCGTTAATTATCCGCGCTTACAGAAGCTTCTTCGCTGACTTCGGAAGTACGGCTGGTGCGCGCGCGGCATTGCTCGAAAATTATTCGGGAGATACGGCTGTTTGTCAATATATATGTACGTTTTTCGACACTCGAGTAGCACATTTTTTTCAAGTATGAAAATTCTCGCGGACTCGTTCCAGATATCAATTATCCCTTATACTAATATCCATTATATAATTTCCAATTATACTTTAACACCCTTTTCCCTGTCTATCTATTCCGTATCTCGGTACGTTCTCGATATATTTTGAAAATAATTCGCACGATCTAATGTATTATCTAAAAGGAGGAGAAAAATCGAATCTTTTCGCGTTTCAATAAAAACATCGGGATATGGTTGGAGAGAGTCAAATCTGTCGAATGGAAGCTCGGGGAGAACGGAATTTGATCGTTACGCGAACGCGGCGATAAGACGCTGTCGTTGTCGTCGACGAAACGGAAACATGTGCTACGACAGAAAGAAGAACGGCCTGCATACCGCGGCCTAAGGAAAATAGAAGCCGAAAGAAGGGGAGAGCGAAGAAAAAAGATAGAACGGCGGCTCGGGGTAGAGAAACGGGAGGAAGAGATGCCGCTGCGCTGCGGAAAAATATAACCTGTTGGACCACGAAAGAGCGAGAGCCACGTAGGTACGCGACGGAGAGAAGGCGCAAGAGAAGTTGGGGGGAGAGAGAGAGAGAGAGAGAGAGAGAGAGAGAGAGAGAATGGAGCCGTGAGTTGGACGGAGATCTCGCTAAAGCGAGACGGCCGTGACGAAAGAAGAAGGGGAAGGATGAGGAGAGGCGAGCAGGACGAAACGGATGGAACGGAGAGAAGGATAGATGAAGAGAGAGAGAGAGAGAGAGAGAGAGAGAGAGATAAGCAAAGAAGGACGCGTGTGCAGGCGTCCCGAACCTGCCTCAACTTCGGCTCGACTTTCGCGGTTCGATTCCTGATCCGATCGATCTAGCTCGTCGACGGTAGCACAGTTAGTATTTACACTTTGCTCTTTCGTTGCCCAGCATAATACCGTTAGTGTGTACTATTTTTCTGCACGTGCCTTGACTCCTTCTCCTCCTCCTCCTCCCCCTCCCCCTCCTCTATCTCTCATAATTTACCGTCGAGGTTGAACGAGACGACAAACGCGCGGCAAAGAGTGAGAAGGACAACTGCTATTTTTCGAAATTTCGAAGGTCGCAATTCGTCACGCAGTTCTCGTATATACTGCGTACTGTCCTTTCTCTGATACAGAAATGCATGGCAGGAAGGGTTCTCTCTCTCAACATCTTCTATACCTACACTCTACATTTTTTTTCCCCCAACCTTCGTCTATGAAATATTATTATTGGTGCAACACGAAGAATGCAACCTGTTGGACCTGTTTGGCATTTAATAGCACACGAGAATTCTATCACATTGAGACTTTCAGGAAGTAAAATCATTAACGCAAAATGCCTCGTCCAATGTGCGACTTTTAATAAAGTTCGCGCATCGATTAAAAAATTATCAATGTCGATTGGACTTTACAGAAGGATAGGAAGCTCTGTTCCTTCCGCAGCTTTAAAGACACACAGCAGGTGCAGTAAGCTGTAAGAAACCAACGAATTATTCCCCTCACATTCGACTACGATCGGCCAATGTCTTAAAGCACAAAGCTTATTCCGTCTATTGTGTTTCGAAACTTATCCGTGAATATGAAAGTGTCATTTGGCGTAAATACGAGGTGAAAATTGGACAGTACACATTTAACATAAATACGCGATGAAAATGGAAACAGAGGCATGAGTAGCGACGTGAAAGGGAATATAATTCGGACGATGTCATCGGGAGCAATTTACACTGCGCCGAACACGTCGATCGATAAATTAACGAGACATATTCGATACGCGTTCGCATTTTTATTGGACTCGCTTCTCGTGGAACCGCGTTTCGACGACTGTCGAATTATATGTATTATCACTCTGAAAATCGCATAGACGGATATTCGAAAAATTGTTAAGAGGCGCACTGCCGTTGTAATTCGTTTTCAGTGACGAACGCTCCAGTCCCTTTTTGCGCCGATTTTACCTTTATCAGCCGATAAACGCGCCAGTTTTTAATCACGCTCGCGATACGAACGAAGATTAACGGCGAGGAACGATGACACGCGTACTCCGGATTTTTTAAACACTTCAATACTTTTGTATTATTGCCCGCTCTGGTTTATTTATTTTTTTTTTTCAAATTTAATTTAACTGCGGTTTCCTCCCCCTTACATGTATATCAAACCTGAGCGATTAATCGTACATAAGAGATGGTATAAAATTGCACAAAATTGATGTGAGGAAACGAAATGTTATCCTCCTTTCTCGATCTTGTCTCACTCCTATTGCATTAAAATATGTCGTATTATATATATATATAATATTCTATACGATTTTATGGCCGAAAGCTATCGAACATTTTCCAAATTTCACACATAGGCGTACACTCGCGAAATTGTACTGTATTTTACTTCGAAAGAAGTGACGTGTGAATTATGTTTAC